AAGTTGTTTGCAGTTAGAGTTGCATGTGAATGTAGAATACAATTTGTCAACTGTATTCTCATTATTTCCTGTCCATCGATCAAAGGAACTTAACACGTTTCCTTTTTTGCCCCAGATGACATCTTGTCCCTCGTTTGCCAATTTATTCTGGGATAATGGCCCACCACTCACATACAGTGTTCAGTGTGCATGTACAGGCCAATGCATACTCCAGGCAAACACGGACGCAAAGTGAATTTGATGTTGCCAAAAACATGAGCAGTTAAATTTGCCCAAGCTGATATGCATTTAACTTGCAAATTTACAGCGCAAGTGTTTATCTGACATCACAATTTTGCCTTTGAGGTTGCATAGTTCAATACCCAACAAAAACCTCCCAAAGATGCCAAAGAAAACCTAAAAAGTGTGTGCCTTAGAAAACTTCATCAACTAGACCCTTCAACACCAAGCTATACATGTACATGTACCTTTAAGTTCATTTACATGCACAAGTAAGCAAGGGCTCAATTAGGGACTGTAAAACTTTATCATTAGACTTTCTTTAAATGTCATCTGTGTACACGTACACAGTGGCTACACGTATTAAATATGGTTGCAACAGTGTAATGAAATAAAGAGTGAAAACCATGGTAAAGCTGCATGTAACTGTGGGAGCAATCCTACACCATACAAACAAAGGCCAAGGCCAAACAAAAGTGCAGGTACATGTACATGTACGCTGTCAGTGCATGAAGTGCCCAGAGATGCTAGTGCTGTGTTTCATACCTGTGGGCATTTGACATCCATCACTCAGCGCATGGAACAGAACCCCAGTTCCAAGAGTGTGTTAGCACATGACATCACATGATCTTTACCACCAGCAATTATTACTGCCACAGAATGATTCTTCCTGGTAATGGACCAACTTTGGCCAGGGCAGCTGTGCATCATTCTCACCTGGTCAGGTGTCAAATAAAGGGGAAAGGCTGCCACACATTATGCCAAGGTTGATTGGAAACCGTGTTGCATAAATGACACAGGCGTACCAGGATGGATCGTACATACGTGTATATTGTGTACTTTCGGATGAAAATGGAGGCAGAAGAAAATATATAAAGAACCAAGCTGTATCTTCAGTGCGCTAGAAAATCTGATTGAAGATGTAAATGTACATCATGATGTACACTGTACAAGACATGCAGAAAGATATTTGTGGCCAAGCAATGAATAAGAATTTCAATCTAGACATGTAACAATGGACTCTTGCTGGGAACTGCACCCCCACAAAGCCTGTCAACAGGGCCCTTATGTATCTGAACTCAACGAAGCATGTCAAACAACTGTTCACTTAAAAATGGCCAAATATAGAACATGAGTTCCCCTTTCCTGATCTGGACTTGGCAACCACCCAAGAGACGATGTAATACTTGTGAAGCAGCTTCCCTGACCTGATTACCAGAGAAAGAGAGAGAGACAGACAAACAACAGACAGGGGCCAAAAGAGTATGACGTTGTGTCTAGACTGGAGGAGGATCTGGACTCCAGCAGTGGCTGAGCCTTCTTCTATGGAGGTTGCTGGGAGGACACAGAGTCAGGATATGGACACTTGGATGGGGAGATGCTGTTTCTCAGTGGCAGATGTATGCCCATTAACATGTTTATATGACGCACATCATGTTGTTAAAGATACTGTGGCTTTATTGGTCCGGGGTGTCGTATCATGACCATTCTGTGAAAACAGCTCGACGTCACTTTATGCATAAACACATCACGTCATTGAAGCAAGCATCCCTCTAAATAGCAAAAATGCAATTTCTCCTCCGGAGAAGCAATGAGCTTGTGTTTGTTTTGTAGTTCGTTTTGTTTGTTATTACTTGCTTATCCAATCAGCAAATTAGCTTAACAATGGCGCTCATATTAAAGTTGATTCAGTCCTTGTGACCATCTCCTAACTAACTACATTGTAACAGAACAATCTGAAATTTTCAAAACTGACTTCTCGACATTCCTCTAATATTCCAATCCAAAAAATTACACAGCGTTCAAAAAATAGAACGTGCATGACTGGCCTAGTTTAGCAGGATTTTTCACCCAACTTATTTTTTTCCTCATGTTTTTCATTCACTAATTTTGGTAGTGTGTCTGTCTGTAAGTTGAGCAGATCCCTACATGCATCTATGCATCCCCTTAATGCCTGGCGATCCTGCATCTCCCTTGGCGACATGATGGATGAGGCGGCTGCATCAATTCTTCTCCTCAATGACACATCCCTTCCACAAACCTTGCAAAGGTCTTGTCTGTCAGCGTCTTAAATTAAATCATATTCGGGCCTAGTGGAGCCCGCTGCCGGGGGGGGGGGTTATCTACTGTCCTCTGATTGGACCGAGGAGGTGACCCAGATCTTATAATATGTAAATCCAAGGGTCAGGGCCAACTCATCACGCACAGGCAGAATTACTTTGTGCAAGACTATGTCGAGAAAAGAAGATGATGCAATGTACAATGGCTCACTGCTGCCTAATTACTGAATTACTACAAACGTGCATGAGCACTAGAATTTTAACATCTTATGGAGACGGTATAACTGTTGCTTTTCTAAACCCTCAAAACACTTCAGCATGTACATGTAAATAAATGGCTTTTCAGTGGTTAATCAAAACTACGTGTAAATACACATGTAGCTGATGAACTGTGAGTCGTTCTATACATATTTGCAATGTACACAAATATGAAACCGTAATGGGTACCCCACAGACCTCTTTCTTCCATGTACATGTATGATGTACATGTAGGTACTAGATCCAGTACTTTACATACAGTTATGTAAAGAAAGAAAGCTATGGAGATTTTCAAAAGCCACACCTGCTTAATTCCATTTTAATTAATTACAGTGCACAACATCTGTGTATGCACATGTGCACCCTGGTACCGTGAACTGATCTCACTCGATGAAACTGCCCCTACCCCAATTGCAGTCCAGCCATGTGAGATTTATTACCTACTAGGAATCATGACAGCCATTTGTTCCTCCAGGTCTGCTCCACCAGCATGTCATCGTGTAGAGTGGTTTTTTTTCAGCAATGGCTGACTAGATATAATGAAATCAGCTTCCTCCCCGATCGATACTGTACTTTTCAACTCCTCCTTTCACGCAGGCTCCCCTCCCCCCCTTTTCATCCTCTCACGGGTTACTTAGGGTTAATCGTCACTGTCTCTGGGATTCCGCTGAACTTACATGTACATGTAAATCAGAACAGTCCCCTGGACTATGGGTGCACGGTGCTCCTCTATGTCCCCCTCCATACACAGACACAGACGCTGGCTCATATGGCTTTGGGAAGTAGAAATAATTGCATCTCACTTTGAGGTGAATACCTCAGGGGTAATAACAGTGCCCCCTCCCCTACCTTAATCCAAGCCAAATCCCAGCCATTCAAGTGAGGCTCAGTCACACACAATCACTCCGGCATTCTTGCCATGCCGTAATGCCGGCTAATTCCAGGCCGCGGCTCCATCGTTTGAGTCAACTTGGCAGCTTCGCCCAGATTCAGAGCAAGAGTTAATGCGAAGCGCATTGCAATACAAGGAGATTAGAGTTAATGAATTAATTCGGCCCACACACTACAGCACATTGCTCAGGCATGGTGTATGATGCATGTGCAGCGTCCAGCCAGAGCTACATGTACAAGAACAGACTTCCCGCGCAAACATGATGCGGCATGTGCTTGAGAAATTGTCCAATGAGCAGTGTGGGTGTCAGTAAATATTCACAACTCAGGTTCTGTGTATTTATGTGTCCAGCAACTAGCCAAATGCCAGACATGAAATGACAGACTTGCCCCAGAGAAATGCTCCAACACATACTTGACTGGCTCTGCCAGGGAAGCAACGCCAGCTGTTTACAATATGTTTAAACAGACCTTCTTCAAAGTTCAGCATAATGAGGAATATCATGTGAACTTTTTTTATTGTGAAAGCTCACAAGCTTGTTAAAAGAGGTGAAGATGCTTTCAAACATTCCTGGTCATTGCTTGTTGATAATTACCAGCAAACCTGTCGGATAGAATTTTAATGAGGGGCCAGTGCATTTGCTCGGCATGTTTGCCTCCTGTTCAAGTACTGGGATGTTCAAGAAACTCTTGTGACTGACTCAAGTGCCTGCTGCAATGGCCAAAAGCTGCCTCTGGAATGCACAGGCACAGAACTGTGTATTTGCCCAAAAGATTTGGCCATGAGCCACTTGAGGTATTTCATTATGCACAGTTATGTTTAATTAGCCCCAGTTTGCTGTCTGATCTCAAAGGCAGGTATGTACATGTATATGCACAAAGTCTTTGGCCAACTACAAGTGCAAAACTCTGTGCATGTAGGGGTGGGTGCAATTACGTGTGCACTGTGAAGCCTTTGCTGTTTCAAGTCTGAAAAGCATTCGAGAGCACCATTTCAGGATGGCATTTGGCAAAGCTAACGATTCCTGTAACACAAAAGCTCAAAAGCAAAGATTTACTGTACCAAAATCTCTCCTTGATGTCAATCCCCAAATCTTCTGCACCTACAAAAAAATTTCAACCAATTTCAACCTTCTGCTGGTCCTCACCAGCAGAATGGCCCCGATGTTGAATTCATCACCTTGGCGATGTGTGTGCATGATCCCAAGTCTGGTTCACAGACTCCTGAACGTATGAACTAGCTTGGGGATGACATGCATGTTCAGAGGGTCACAGACTCAACATCCAATCTACTCCGCTGATACAGAATGGAGAGTTTGCCCTTGGAAAGTTCAGGTACAGCAAATTTTGTTGAGTTCAGATGACAAGTCTCTATATCATTTGCAAGGATTTCAAAATCTGCCACATGAGAACAACCAACAGATGTACAAGTACATGTAAAGCTACATGCTTTGAGAAACTGTTAAATAAAGAATTTCCAAATGATCTCAGAGTAAGATACCGGGGGTATTTAGCTTTTAATACCAACCCTCATCCAACCAAAGAAATTTACAAAAATCATTAAACACAAACCTGTGTGTGTTCTCTGGTGAGCTTTCAAGTGTGAACTCTTGGTGTAGACCTTCCGACAACCCGGAAATTGACACTTGTGGATTCTCCGCTTGCTGTCAGGGGATTCTGCCCGTTTCCCCAAAGACCGAGCCGAGTTCACACTCCGAACCCGCACCGTTGTCCGGTCCATGTGCACCATACTGACGGCCACCAACTGGTTCACAGGCATGGACACTGGCATCACCCGAGTGATTTCAGGCGAGGAAGGGGGCGTCAGTGTCACGGTGCTGACCTTGGCCTTGAATTCGGCCCGGAAGGGGTCGCATGTCACCGTGGCTGTGGGCGAGGGCGAGAGTTCGCCTGAGCTGTCCCAGGATGCACCGCTGGAGCTGGAGAGGCTCAGGGTGTCGGTGTCGAGGTCAAAGCGGCTGTCGTTGCTCTCGCTGTCCGACAGGCTCAGTAGGCTTTCCACCTCCTTCTCCCGGATGACTTGCTGGCAGGAGAGGATAAACTTGTTCCATGGATTCTCTGGTTCCTTAATCTTTTTGTCCTGTGTCTGGCAAGGTTCGGCCTTCAAGTACCGCTCCATCTCCAGACAGTTCTACATGACAAATTTGGGGGAAAAAAGAGAACACAATCAGCCTATCAAATGTCCACATGCTAGACTAAGCCCTTTACAGATTGGCCAACATGATCTAAAATCTGTGCATAAAATAAAACACGCAATAGATCAACACATCAAACAAGCTGACCAGGAGTAACCCCTCAGAGTCATGACTGCGCTACATTTGAACAAACAGACAGCTGCATTTAGGCTTTGCTAGACACTAGTACATGCCATTGTGGAAGTTTAACTAGATCATCCAATCCAGCATCATCCCTCGGAGACTGGGACTCACTCCTGCCTGGTCTGCCTTGGGGAAACTGTCTCTTGTCATCAGGGACATAATAGGGCATGGAGAGACCAGTATGGGGGGAAAAAAAACCTTATTTTAGTTGGAATACAAAACCAAACCTTGCAATCTCCTCTGTGAACTTGTCCAAGTTTACACAAGAGGAAAGTCGTGTGAGGACCTTGGACCAAGTCTTTGTCAGGTTTTTGACATGAACATTGTGGGATACATGTGAGTCATGGAAAAAGCTTACATCCAAACAATTTGAACAGAAGTGAGGAATACATATATATCTGCTATCTTCTGTGAGAATTTATAAGCAGTTGGACTGTGGTTGGGTTATGAACAGCATGCTAAATGGTGTCAAATTTAAACAAATATATTCTTCAGTTAAGAAACATGCTCAAACGATGGATTTCTTTAAAGGTTGAGGACTCACAGAAAAATAGACCAGAAATACATGTAATTTCAAGGAACTGTCTTAGAACTAACAATATCTTGTGTAAACTGTAATGGAAAACAAAAACTACAGAGTTTTTTTACGGGGGAAAGCACAAAGCATGGAAAAAAAACCCAGAACAGGGAAATTGCCTGTAATTACATCTACAGCACTCATTTTCACCAAATGCTAACCCACACACATTCCTAGCTCGGTGTAAATGGTCTGTGATTGAAAGAGCCACTGAAAAGTAAAAAATTCCAGGCAGCCATGCTTGACACAGGGAAGCTGGACACAATGCCCCCCACTCTTCAGCGTTCAGGGGAGTCATCCATCATGGAGCACTGACTTTCATATAGTGCAGGGCTACATTTACGTGCTAACTTTTCAGAACAGTATTAATAAAAACTTGTAACGCAACCCCGAAAAAAGTTTTCTGAACTTAGACTGGACGAATCAAAAGACTGTGGAAAAGTACATAACACTCATGTATACAGAAGTCCCTCATTGCTATGCATGTTATTTCCTGGTTGAAAATTCAAGGTCCCACAGAAACAAAATGCTTTTATACGAAAAACACACACAACAACATTATTAGCGTGCCCCCAAATTGTACTTGTGTTCAATAGTATTCTAATGTAAGGATTCAAACCACTTTTGTTTGTGAAAAGGCCTGTGGCTGTATTGCCAGGGTATTTAGAAAGCCACCAGCATAAATGCCGTAGGTGAAATAATACAAGACAACTTCAACGGAAGGGGAAAATGTCAGTTTCAATATTCAGGAAACCAATGTTTTGGTTGTTTACTTGAACGTTTTACCACGATTCAATACACAAAACAACCTCCTGGAAATCTGTGAACCATATAAAATGTACAGGAAAAATGGAATTGGTGAACGTCTCACCATCTATGGGCATGAACCTATCAAAGGCTAAAGTCCTGAATATGTAGGTGATCCTTTTAATCTCCAGATAAAGAGATCTGTGTGCACGTAGGACTTTTAACTGGAGGGGTAAACGTCAGCTTCAACATTCAGGACACCAATATTTAGGTTGTTTACTTGATCATTTTAACTTGACTCAATGCATAGGATAACCTGGAAATCTGTGAACCACAGCGTATAAAAAGTACACGGAAAAAAACAGATGCGGTGAAAAACTCTGCCATCTACGTGTATGGGCATGAACTTATCAAAGGGTTAGTCTTGCATAGATGAGGGTGTAAACCTCCAGATAAAGAGGGCTGTGTGTAAATCCTGATCAGGTCAAGGATCTGTTGGTTTGGTTTGGGCTCATCAAGAAAAACCACAGGAATTTTATGTCCTGAGGTAAGAGGTGAGACAGTATGAGCTAATTCCCAATGAGCACAAACTGTAATCAGCCTTGCACAGAGACCACAGGCAAGGTGGCCACAGTACCCTTGCCCTTGATGTACCACACTTGCATAACAGTGTGATGTGTGATGCAAAGACCATCCATATCCTGCATTTCTAAAGTTGAAACCCTGGAAAAGGTTCTCTCCAGCCCCCCAACCCCAAAATATGACCACAGTAAAGTATGTTGACAATAGAAGAAATAATAGAAAAGGAATGGAAAAAAAATCTGAAAATGTCACGGCTGAAACCATACTTGTATAGCCCACAATATAACTACCCGGAAGTAGCCTGTTTCTTACTGTGCATTTTGTAATCTCAGACCTCAAACCTGCAATAGTGAATAGTCATCCAGAAGCCAGCCAAGTCGTTTTGAGCTTTCGTTTTTTTTCCCAAATGAGTCACTGCCATAGCGTCAATCCAAAGTAAACCATGCACGTCCAGGTACTATACATGTTCCTGCACGCGATCCAACCAAACAATCCGACTGACGTCATTCGGCAAGTAACATGTAAAACACCATTTTGGTGTATTTGTGAAAAAATCCTACTGCATACACCACAAAGCCAGATTACCGGACCAAAAAACTGATGGCACTGGTATCACATCTTCCAATACATTCTCATGGTTTCTTTTATTTATTTGTTTACAATGCGATTCATGTATAACATCATGTATCGGCAGGAATGGCAAAAATTTCAATTTTTAGAGAGAAGTTTGATCAGTTTGAATTCTCGGGTTCTTGCTTGGCTTTCCTATGCTCGACAATCTTGTTAGTTTTGAATGAGTCAGAGGTGAACTGTAGCAAACAGCCATGCCTCACCTCCACTACTGGTACCATCATCCACTTGGAATTCTTATTATCTACAGTCCTGGTGAATCATGTCCACTCAGCCATTACTGGGGAAAAAAGCCACCTGCGTCATCTGCTACCAAGTGCCCCCCTCCCCATTAAGTGGCATTAGCCAATTGCATTGTGACATCTCTATCTCGCGCTCAAATCTGGGTTTCAAGTGCTCAAATTTGATTTTAAAGTGTTCAAATACAGCTTAATTGTGCTCAATCAGATCTGCCGTTCTAAGTATTAAAGAAAAGTCGGGCTGTAAAGTGTGAACATTTGACTTTAGCAAGTTAAAAATCTAGATCTGTCTGTAACGCGAGAGGACACTATGTTGCTGTGAAGCAATGAAGAGCCTGTCCGCTAGGCACACCACAGCAATGACATTCAAGAGTTGGCCCAGCCTGTCCACACATCTACATGACATGGTAGGTACATACATGTACATGTGTATATGTACCGTACTAGTGGCCACATTGTTCATATTCAACTTAGAAGTATTCAAATCTGACTTTCATATTTGTTAAATCTTTGGCTTAGTCAATGTTATTTATTAGCAGCTTGTCATATTGCCCACTGATCCCACATGATGAAGTCAAACACCTTCCTTGGCTCAAATGCCAACGACCCCTTTTTTTTCCCAGTGAGGTTGGAGGCCAACTTTCTGCATCTCCCTGGCAAGATTCCAAAGGGGCATTCCACAATATTGTCTAAAGGGACTAGGGGTGCTACTTAAGTGGGGATCAGGGCCTATTAGGTCTGTGAGAAGCAGCCACCTCTTGGCCCCCCTCTCTTGTTTGTTGGAGTCAGTGAGTTATTGATGAAGCTGGGGCTTGTTTGTTGAGTTGGGAAGGGGGAGGAAAGATGCTGGCCCAGAATGGCAAGGCAGGGATTTCAGCTGCGTGAATGAACCCCCTCAGGATTAACCAAATGGGCCTGACGGCAATGAAAGCATAGAGAATCAACTAGGAAACCACAGTGACAATCCAAGACTGTAGGCTCCCCACGGTATACATTGTACAGTGAGTGCAGGCCCAGAGCCAGTGTGCTTCTACGTTGGAGGTTGGAAAAATCCCTTCCTTTAGCTTACTGTACCATGGAAGAATGTGTACAGAGGTCACACCATAACCCTGGCCATCACAACAAATCAACATTGGTGTGGGTTCTCCTGTTTTCTGTAAAGTGGTTTCCACGAGAGACAGAATGCACACGAAATGTGCACTGTGGAAATGTTGTGAACTCGGAGATGACTGCTCATACCGATTTTACATGTAACTTAAGCATGCTGTTCTTAATATTCTCACTCGAGAGTTTCCACATCTGAGAAACAAAAAACTAGTAGCTTCTGTTTCCTATAAAGCATCTGCTACAAAAAAAGTTAATAAAAGATGAGGCTCAGGAGGTGTCCATTTGATCCAATCAAGATGTGGAACCACAAGACTTGACTCTCCCGGAATTATACAGGCCTAGTGTTCTTTCTTTTTTCAAAACGTGCAGCAAGATTCATATCCAACCTGCATCTTTTTCAGTTTAATCTAATCACCGACGCTGCAAAGTGTGATGGCCCCTGGGTTAAGAAAAAACAGAATCGAAGCAGTGAAGTTACAACAGCACTGCGAGGGACGCAAATGGACACGGATGTAACACAAAAACACTGAACAACAAATGGATGATGCAGCAGGATTGTAACACTGCACAGCCAGAAAAAATGCAGGTCGTGTTGTTTAAGGTGACAATTGAATACTTATTTACATGTACTAATGAAACACTGGTGGGGGCTTTTCAACTAGAGTTACTGTAAACAAACAGGGCAACATCTACCCCGTGCTTTACCTTAACTGGATTCACATTACCAAGTTCATCAAAAGTTTAACTTTTTGGTGTTTTTTTCCCCGGGGGTTCCTTTAACTGGAGAGAGGACTCAGTGCTTAAGTGTCACACTGTGCACCTGCATTGCAGCCAATTCTGCCCCAGGGATACCAGCTTCTAGTGGTAGCAGGCAGTTTTTCCCTGGAGGGGTTACAGGCTGTTATAAATGGATGGTGGGATTACAAGCTCC